CTCTCTCTAGAACCAACAGAAAAAATACCCTCAGGTGAGGATTAACCAAAAAAAGGTAGGAGTGAAGGACAACGGAATGGCTGGCTGGTTACCACGGGGGAACACGGGCAGGGCTTGGCATTGGAAAGATGCTCAGACAGCCCAGAGGTCGGTCCTGGGCGAGGCCTGCTCCGGGCGCCGCACTGGCTGGGAGGGGAGGAGGCGATGTTCTGAAACTGTCACGATAAACAGACAAGCACAGCTGAGTGGAAGGGGGGTGCGGCTAGGCCCAGGACTGGGAGGAAGGTAAAGATGACACAGGAGAGGGGGCAGGGCCCCCCACAGCAGCTCAGTGCAGAAGCAGATGGCTCCCCTTGGGCGCTTTCACATCTGCGCTGCTCTTGAGAGTTCCCGGCTCCAGAACAGAGAACAGCCCTCATTGTTTCCTTTTATTTTTTCAGTGTCAGCGGCTTGTTCGTTTTTGGACTTGTTCCTAATTCTCACAAGCTGGTTGAGGCTACAAGGTGGCAGAGTGCAGACGTAGCCCACAACTTAAGAGATTTGGCAGTTTTAGCTTCACGTGCCGGGGGTGTGAAACCACGTGGCAGTAAACACGGTAACTAAACATCCTTCCGAAACACTGTCCTTTTGAATTCAATATGATCAACGGACAAGTGTTTGCAGCCATAGATCCTAAGGCACCGTTATTAAATGCTAACATTACGTGCAAACCTTGTATTGTATGGTATTTCCAGGTTCCTATATCACAGACGTGACAGCAAAGGGCTGTGAAAAATGATCTGTCAACGTGAGCTGTGAGACTTTACCCATCCATAGCTCTACATTTAAAAAAAAAAATCTTTATTGATTTCAGAGAGAGAAAGGGAGAGGGAGCGAGAGATAGAAACATCAATGATGAGAGAATCATTGATCGGCTGCCTCCTGCACGGCCCCTACTGGGGATAAAGCCCACAACCTGGGCACGTGACCCGGGAATTTAACCGTGATCTCCTGGATTATAGGTCGACGCTCAACCACTGAGCCATGCGGGCCGGCCCATAGCTCTACATTTTTAACTTTTCTGTTTTCTTAAATCCCTCCTTGAAAAAAACAAAAGCCAGGAAACATCTGCCAGGCCCTCTCTTTCCTCCTGATGTCTCCTCGTAGGAAACAGAATAAAAAAAAATAAAGACCACAACACTGACCTACTCTCAACGCCCCCTTTTCCACACCACCCCATTTTTCAGAGGTTCAGTACAGAGGTTCAGGGCTCCTGGAAGGGAGACGGGGTGGGGGGATGTCCCAGAAGTGGAACAGGGCTCTTCACCCCGGAAGACGAGCTCAGTGGACGTGGGTGGCAGCTCAGCTCCCCAAGCTGGGGCAGGGCTAGAGGCCAGTTAGCAGGTGGTGGAAGCTGTTGTCCCCTAGGATGGAAATATGATTCTGGACCAACAGCAGCAGGGTAAGCAGCTGGGAACTCATTATAAATGCAAATCCTCAGCCCCACTGACCTAAAGAATCAGAACCTCTGGGGTGGGCACAGCACCCCAGGTTTATCAAGCTCTCCATGGGATTCTGACGCAACCTCTGGGAGGCACGAAGCTCCTCTACTTAATGAGTGTGGTTTTCTAGAAGGGTGGACTCGCTAGGAATCAAAGGGGTAGAGTCTGGGCAGGTTTGGGGGGAGGAGCCCCATCTCAGATCCTTGAAGGGAAAGGCGAAGACGAGACACCTGGGCTCTAGTTCTTGCTCTGAAGTACTAGCATCCAAACTGGGACAGGAATACAGCCTCCGTGCCCCAGTTTCCCCACCTGAGGGCTGCCCACAGGCCTGCCGCAGGCTCCAGCGAGAGCCGGGGGGAATCACGGTGGCCCCAGCACGTGAGAGCTGGAGTCAGTGAGCTCTCAGGGGCGGTAGCACCCAAGGCCCTTACTTTAAGCTGAGACCCCGAGGGGTGAGAGGTGTGTCTGACTCCCTAGTAACTGGAGCCCAGGCCCCCTTCATTGGGGCACAGATGGGGGGCACTATATCCAGAGAAAGGACCCACCAGCACTCCCAAATGACCTTTTATGACCCCCCAAATCAGAGCATGTAGCTGATTCAGAACCTGGCTAGGCCAGCCTGAGCCTTGAGCCTCAGCCCCCTCCCAGCGAGGCACAAGTGTGAGGCTTCTGGTCCAGGAAAGGGAACCCAGGAGGGTCCACCTCGCTCTGGTGTGGTTCTGTGTCACCTGACAAGTTCCTCAAG